TATGTAGTTAAAATGATAAACACGTTTATTTCTTTTCTGAATCCGATGGGGTATGTTCGATAAGAAGTGTAAATTGGCATGGAAGAGAGAGAACAATAAGATGATCCCTTCTCTTTGTTTTCTTCCGATTAGCTACTTCGATGTTTCAGTCACTAATATCAACACTTAAAAGGAAGCCGTTACGATTTCCCTTAACTAATTAGTCGTCATTTTCATTTTGTATGCGAGGTGTAGTTTATGAGAAGAAGAGAAAGGCAAGATTCTTCGGGGTTAAACGATTTAACCGTAACCAGAACTGTTCATAATGTCAAAAGTAACAATGAAATACCGGATGGCGACACGTTCACAAAATCCGAATTCAAACTCAATATACGAACAAGAGAAACATTTACACGGAGACTCTTGGCAAAAAGTGAAAATATGGTGTCCCGGAAGGTAAAGCGTTTTCTGCTTCATTGACGGCACTCGTCTTTTATCTCTAGGTAAATACCTTATCTACTCTATAACACATTAACTATAACTGACATCCGTTTGATATGATTCCACGGAAAAGAAGAAGAAGAAAAGGAAGACATTTTGTAACGCTTAACTAAATCAATTATAACGTCTTAAGCAATGGTATGTTGACATATCAAACCCACGGAAATGAAAACCAGAATCCAGATGCCCAAAATGTTGTTAGGGATAAACAGTGGTAAGAGAAAATTTCGAAATATCAATTAAACGAAATTGGGAACATTCTTTAACATTTGACTTGTGTAAGTTTGTTGATACATCACCATTGTTGGGCAGCAAGTTTGCACTAAAAGTTCCCCCTTTTTTCAGTGGCAGCAATCTTAGTTTAAACAATATCTTATTCAATAATCAACAACATAACATATACATATGATACGAATGGGATGGGAAAACACACTTAAAGCTTATATTAATTCATTTCAATTTTAATCTAACCATTGGTTAAGTAATACCTAACTTCAACCAACTCTTACCTTCCAAACTAGATCTCGATTTTTTCCCGATCACTTTTGTTTTTCCTCAGTTGCCTCCTAGGCTTCTTAATTTAGGCCCTTGCGAGGTAATAGAAGGACGAAACACTTGTATGATGCACTTATTTGGCTTACTGTATCCATTTTCTATTTATCAAAATGAACTTGTATGTCTTTGGTGCTTGAGATTACCAGTGGTAAACTCTGCTGATGGAGTCCCGGAGAATTGTCGGACCCTATAATTGCACGGTTTAGCATATACACATGTACTTGACGTTCTTCGGAAATTGCCAGATATATGAAAATTACGAAATTTATTGAATGGTGGGACCAGTGCAGCTCCCCATCTAGAGTTTGACATTTGTACGATCACTTTTGTATTTTTTCGTCAGTCGCCTCCTAGGCTTAGAAATAGACATTTGTAGATTAAAACATCATTTGACTTTATTGTATCTAATTCTACATTCTAGTAAAATGTACTTAATAGAACCTTAATTTTTGTGAATCCTTTGTATACAACTGGAGCCGGATGATGCTTCTTTTAAGGCTTCCCAATGTTGTTATTCACCTATGGGGTACTTATATGGATGCTAGGAAGTGATTTAACGCATTCCAAAACCGAAATCACTCCCGATCCATATAGTTCTTCTTTCCTCAATGATGTCATTTTCATAAAATTATGCACAGGTAACGGAATTGCAACCATTAGTCTATGCGAATAATGTTTTCAACATGTTCTCTTCCATTTTATTCATTAAGAGTCAAAGTCAATGTCATCTAATTTACATCAGGATATACAAAAATATATGTTTTGCTCATCCACGTGCTAGATTTAGTCGTTTTGTTCCTAATGTCCAATCAGAAGTGTCAATACATATTGTGACGTCGAATTTCATTGGTCTATTGTGACAAACCCCCAGGACTAGGACGTTTCTACATGTGTGTATATACATGTGCATATTTAACATTGTTACATGGTTTTATTGAGGTCTATTTTAAACTATAGATTTGATAAACTATCTATAAAGGTGAGTGAACCTTTCTTATTTTTTCGTTGATTGCTATTTATAATATCAGTATTCCGAGTGACTGGAATCAAGGGCACACAAGCGTATGGTAAGTCCAGAACTAGTCAACCGTTACATTTTTAGAGTCAAGATTTTGATTGTGGCTCATTGTAACCGGTGTAAATTGAACGCATTCAAACAGTATTAGCTTATATAAATACAAATAAGCTGATACAACAATACACATATTGACAGCCATGCATGCGTACTAGTTCGACAAAGTTAACGGCTTGACACATGTCGCGCTATTGCAGCTACGTACGTTCGGGTTCAATAAGCACTTTGTGAAAATGATTGGTGCAAAGGTGTATATGGGAATATACTACATATCAAGTAATGATGTAGAATCACTGGTGTATGATGTCTGGCCTAGATTTTTTTACGTTGTTAGAAAACAAAATACATGTACGGGTCCCTTTCAGCTTTCTACACAATTTCTCCATTGACAAAAATTTCATCAAACAAATCTAAGGGGTTTTTTTTCAGAACATACCTCGCCTTTATATACAAGATACCTAATTACCACGTGATCGTTATCCTCGGCTGGATGACGGTTCTCGCGACCTGTGTCTATAATCTCCAAATTCAAGCTAAGAAAATCGATGGCACCACCATTTGTTTATTACGTAGTCTTTGGAATGCTTGCTTCAAACGGAAAATGCATATTACAAGTTCCAAGAGCTGCAGAGAAAACAATGCCATGCACATATGGATGGTACACGTGTGGCGGCGATTTAAAATGGCATCACCCGTGTAATACCTATAGATGTATGCTCGAAGGATTGTATAAAAACAACTAAAAGTGACACATCCTTTATATAAAATTATAACTAGATGCAGTAGAGCCAAACAGTAAACTAAGTCATGGTGATAGTTCGTCATTCTGAGAATCACCATCAATGCTGGTGTGCCGAGGAAAAATTCAAAGATGGATATATATACTGGGAGACGTACTACCCAAATAATGATGTTCAGTCCTAGATGGTTTCAAATACTGTCAGATACTTGTATATACTCTTAATCACTGACCAGAATTTACTTATGATACAGGTAAGATTGATATATAGCTATCCTACAGTATATTTACCGGTACCCAGTACCCGATTCTTTTTAAGCGTTGTATGTTATTGTAATATAAGCGATCATCTATACAACGCAGACAATTACAAAAAGGAAAGTTAATGGTTGTATATACGATTATCTCATTGGGAAACATTAAATTCCATTAAGCGATATGAACTTGTTATTTACCTAGTTCTAATTTGTGATATTACTTGGAATGACAACGAAGGTGATGACGGGCGTCGTTGATGAAGCAGAAGATGAGTACCGTTCCTAAACAATTATTCAAAGCAATCTGTTAAAATCCTTCTTTTATCCATATTTTGTCATTTTTTCGTTGATTTTTTACCTTCAGTTAAAGATTCATAAATAATGAATAATCTCTGCATCTTGATTTAAATTTTTTTCATTAATGTCCCCTTTTTTTGTGTTTATATGACAGCTTTGTTGTTTGATAGACTAATTTGGTTGTACTTGATCAAATCTCTGTTTGGCTGATAAGATGTGTACAAATCAAATAAAAATGTTTAACATCAGCTTTACTAAAATTTGACCACCATTTAAACACTTGGGGTAACGTATGTTTGCTATAAGGAACACAAACAATCGTTAGATTCCTTTTCGTAATTGATTCACTTATCATGTCGTCCTCCATCGTTGTGGTGTTGATTTCGTGTAGCTGTAAAACATGTGTTTGTGTAAATATTTCATCAACCTCAGTTATTTATATAGCTTAGACAGGAAGTAATGAAATTAAATCGAACGATATAGCCTTTCGAAGAGATTATCCTTTAAATTTGCTCATGCTACATGCTATGTGATCATCATACCTACTCAACACAAAATCTTGTATTGATTTTATTTTGTTCTTGACGTTTACTGTCATTTCACGTGTGATACAGGCATTATTGAATATTATGTTTACTTTAAACACTTGTTACCGCTATCGTTTGTTTGTCCTGCCTGATCCACGTTTCCATAGATTTTATTTTAAGAGACACGTATTGGCAGGTTTTTCATGAGGTGTTGTTAATTTTGTGATAGAGATTTCCACTACAAAATCTACTTTGTGTTTTCAAAATAAACTATGAGCATTAACGACAAATACGTTTCCTTTTTCAAGATGTTATTGCATTTGTATAATTTAGCTTATTTTATTTTGATATCTTCATCATCTATATGGCATCTACTGAAATGTGTCCTAAACCTCAAATCTATTTTTATTCTACAAGTATTGTGACTAAAAGCGTCAGCAATCAGATATTATAATCCATGTATATTTATTATTTTTTTCTCGTTTAAATAAAAATACTGTTTACTGATGTGACTAAAATGGTTTGATTTTTCTATATTTCATTTCACATGAATTATATTTGGTTCGTATGTATCAGTTCATGCCACGTTATATGTGTATTTTGTTATGTGTTTATCTCATATGTAATATGATCAATAATAAGTATCGTGATTTTTTCATTCCGTCTTGCCTGTAGTGTAGAAGAATCGATACTGAACTATTTCCAAATGGAAATACAAAAATAAGTCCATGTACATGGCAACACTACTATTGACCTTTTCCCAGAATTGATGCAGCTTTCTAAGAAATTTAGATCACTTAGGTTGGCCTTTAAAAAGAGAACGTAGTATAACTAGTGAAGACATGTTATTGAAATGATGAAACTGGGAAACTCCGGGTTTTCGACTAAAAATAAGAACATGTAATGAAAACTATTTAAAAGGAAAATACGCTGGAAATGTTTATATTTGCGCATTGTAAACTATAGAGAAGTAAATATCAATATAAATACTGATATGCTGGATTAATTTTTAAATTTATCATATTATTTTTCAGAACAATACCTGAGGAGGTTGTAGATTGTGTTCCAAAATGGCAACAGTGATATCCAATTTCGGGAGAAGGACTAGAAATATAATTGATGCTTGTGTATTTGCAAATAAATCTAGCTGTGTGCTGAGTTCGCCACGTCTGAATTCGTCTTTTGTGGGAGCAGGTACTGAGGGAGTGAACCCAAATCATCCTAAGATTCTCATAACAGGTAATTTTTATATCAATATGTTTTTATCTGACTTGATTTCAATTTGATATCTGCGTTATTTAATGCTTCATTAGTCTTATACAGAAAACAGAGAGCTATCATTTTAAGATTGTTGCGATTGAAGTCATGACAGATATGGTACTATAATACAGGTAAGTAGGAAATTGTCCTTGTTGGTTTCTTTGAGATCGAGGCAGGCAGCAGAGGTAGAAGAACTTGTCACGTCCTTGATTTCCTGGGTTAGCAAACATGCATTTAAAATTATTTTATACTGTCCTATCATTTACAGTATTAGTGTTTACATACTATTTTTGTCAGATACTGTAACTGATGCAATAACCTGTGAATGATATGTCCAGCTATCTACTTTATGTGTGAACTATTCGCTTAAGGTTTTTTTTGTTTATTATTGTGTATATGTATTTAGCTGTATTATGTAACCTCGAGTTTGATCATTTCACCACATTTGTTTAAGACCGTAATGGACGAAATCTAAAAAGCGGAAAAACCTCCTCGGTTTATGACGTCATTCTAGCTAAATATAGAGCAATAGGTTTTCCTGTTGATGTTTACTTTTGCTTTCGGCATATTCGTTTGGTTTACAAGGTTAGGTTAGCTTGAAATCAGTGTTTGCCAAAATGAAGATCCGATTTTGATGTTGAAATTAAGAAATGGTTTAACGTTGCCTTCTTACATCTCCTACATATACCGCTTAAACAAAAAAGTTATTTTATGATAGTTGTCCTCATTTTAATCGATTCACCTCAAAATATTTTACTTAAGGTTTTTTTTATTATTGAGTCAATTTTAAAGTTTTTTTTTTCAAAAATTACTATTTCATGGACACTATATTTCCAGGAGACAGGCAAAATATAAAACTACTTATACTTATTTTAAGCTCTCGCTGACATGAATTTCTAGATCCAGCATGTGCAAAATTCAAATACAGATATCATAATGAAAACACAAATAATTAGATTGGTCTAGTTTACCAGTTCGCTATAAATTTATTATATTTCATAAGTAACAGTCATATCAGTGGCAAAAATATAGTGAGTCTGATAAAAATCAAAATTGTTGACAGGTGTTTCCTTCAGAGGAGTTTTTATATGTATTGAAGATACACATACATTCACTATGAGAATTGTCAGGCAATATGGTTTATGTAAATTTCAAATGTTCCATACACTGCAGCATTAGCAACAACGGGAAAAAATACCGAATACCGACAAGTAAACAAAATAAAAAATTCAACCTCAAAATGAAATGGCTGCATAAGAACAAAACAGAGATTTACACAAAGACATATGACAACGTTCAAGTAGAATAGGCCATCGGCTCCGAAAATATTTATGTTATATCAGAAAAAACAGTTTTCAAATATCATCAATATGATTTGCATTTCTTTATTTCTTTTTTTCATGATCGTGTAGATAAAAATTGTACAAAACATTTCCCTGTGTTTTTATTTCATTAGATGTTTTGTCTGTCTCACTTTGTCGACGTTTAGAAGTTATATATTTATATTCCACTTAGATTTACACAAACCCTTTAATATCTATCTTTTTTTTCATGTTCAGCATTTTTTGGAGATGAGGGAAAGGTTTATTTAAATTTTTCTTTTTTAAAAATGAATTGAAACATATATTTATATGTTTATCTTAATTAAGTGATAGTTTTTGGTTGTTTGTCATTTAATCAAATACGCAAAAAAAGAACACTGTGTGACACGATTCTGATCGATGGTCGTCACGGCTGTTGATTTCAGTGATCAAATAGAACGTCTCACTATCCAGGAGTGTCGCCGAGACATTCCTATGACTCACGTGAACACACACATATAGTTAAGGACATTTAAGATAGATTGCTATCAAGAACCCGGTAAAACCCGTATATTATTGAGTCTGAAGACATATCAGTGGAAAGACACGTATGTGTTTTCTTAAAATATTGTCACTTTTGTTAAAATCACTTTTTTTTAATTATTTATCCTTCTATTTAGAAAATGTCATTAAATTATTAAGTGAATTTATGTGTTGAATACATTAATGTAAAATTGTAAATTTTAAATTTGACCACTAGAAGTTGTCCTTGTAAACAAATTATACCTTGTGTTATGTCCATTGTAGGAAGTCTTGGACAGCTTGGTACTGGACTAGCCAAAGAACTCAGGTATGGTAAACAGTATGTGCCATCTATACAATTTTTTTCATGTTGGTATTTTCCATAATGTTCTCCAAAGTTCTGAATCGAGTTAAGTTGACGTACTAGGCAATGTCATATTTGATTTATTTATTTATTTTTTCGTATTTCACAGTAATGTCAATTTAATTGCAACCATTTAACTCTATAATAATACATACATCAATGAAAACAAGACAACTCTTTCGATCTCTGTTTTATTATTATTTGTTTTCATCCTTTGACAAACTTTGTTACAGGATTTGTAAGGATGCCCTAATGATGAATACCTAACCTTCTATTTCAAAAATCAGCGTACAATGACACACGTGAAAACATAGAAAACTTCAATAAAAACCATTTAGCTATGGTTATTACTGAATTGATTTATTGTTATGACACTTGTAAATGAATGACGAATACTTGTCATCGTAAATTTACGAATTTGATAAAAAAATAAAACTTAAAATGAATTCTTAATGGTTTGAGAGTTGTCAGCATAAATCGAAAACGCTTTACCTTAAACCTAGTGTGTCCGTTCTTGAATTTCTCACATATACAATAAATACTACGGTCTGATAGCTTAGTGTCGGTGCAACATGTGTGTGTAACGGCTGATGTGTATTATTTTTACGTACAGCATGTATGGTAGCCTAGGTCTGCAATATATGGATGTATTTACATTTACATTCTACAGTTGCCTTATTTCATCTTTCTTAAGTATCAATGATATACCTAAATAGAACAATACGTGAGTATAGTGTGAAAAAGAATGGAAAGTATATTGACAAGAACCTTTCTATATATTCTGTGTCATACTTTTTTAAAATCCTAAAATTATTTCCCTCGTAGAACTAATTATTTCATTACAAGAGAAAATGTATTTCCCTGTTACTATAGTCATTCGGATGTCAATGATTTGCAAATTAATTTTTTTCGTTAACAAGGTTTCCAATAAGGGAACCGTGTCAGTTGTTTTGCAAATGTATTATAAACAGTATTCAGCTTAATACGAGTGTGATGTGTAATACTTTTTCAGACAAAAATATGGACGGAACAATGTCATCATGTCTGATATCATCAAACCATCACAGTCTGTCAAAGAAAGTGGTATGTGCCTTTTTTAGTTCACCTGGCCTGAAGAGCCAAATGACATTATGCCGTGGCGCGGCATCCGTCCGTAGTCAACCTTTTTTCTTTAAACAAGTTCTCAATAACCAATGGACCAAATGTTTTTGATATTTGGCTGATATGTTTCTAGGATAAAGCTCGACAAATTCAGCGAAAAGAAATTACCTTGAGTTATATTCAAGGTCTCAAGGGTCAGATTTGTAAAACCCTTTAAATTACTTCTTCTCATGAACTAAAAGTCCCGGAGGCATAATATTTTGGTGGTATGTTCCAAGGATAAAGTCCAACAAAGTTTGCGAAAAGAAATGACCTTGACTTATATTCAAGGTTACAGAGATCAAATTTGTGAAAAATTTTATAAGATTTTTTTTCTCATTAGCTAAAATGCGTAGAGGCATGATATTTGGCTAATAAATTCATACCAGATGAGCACTGCAGGCCCATTGAGCCTCTTGTTTCATTGAATTATCATTTGCTCCAAAATCCACATTCGAAGAGTTCCTATAACTGAAATTCTAAACAGTAGCATGATAAATGAGAGTGAACAAGAAAGGAAGTTTAAAGTGAGGAAAGATAATTTGTTTACGTAAGTGAAAAGCTCTTACAAAATGACTTTGATAATAGATCATATATATGCCATTAGTAATCCTGTATGATATATAGTGTTATGAATATCGCCAACTTTGTGGGTCCTTTAAAATATGCGAGTGTATGCAATACACATGTACATGTCACCATCGGTGTTTAAAAGCCTTTCATTTGTTGATGTCCAGGTATGTTTAGGTCCCAACGAAATTGCAAAGTGCTTAGAATTATGTTTAAACAAAGATGGATGTCCCCACTTCATTAGGTTTTTATCCGAAGATCACTTATAAATCTAATTATTAAACAAACATGAATGTATTTAGAGTCCTAACGTCCTCGCCAATATATAAGTTAAATATATCACTACTTGTATGTCAGACTATGTTTGTTACTGGACATCCCCCAGATAAATTCCCTATATAAGTTATGAATATCACCTCCAGTTTTAGGACTTTATGTGTTACCGGACAATGTTCCCTATATAATTTATGAATATCACCTCCAGTTTTAGGACTTAATGTGTTGCCGGACAATGTTCCCTATAAAAGTTATGAATTTCACCTCCAGTTTTAGGACTTTATGTGTTACCAGACAATGTTCCCTATATAATTTATGAATATCACCTCCAGTTTTAGGACTTTTTGTGTTGCCGGACAATTTTGAGATTAAGTTTCCTATATAAGTTATGAGTTTTACCTCCTGTGTTCAGGACCCTATCTTTTCGCGGACATCCTCGAGTTTAAGGCCCTTCAAGAGATGATAGTGACACATGACATCGACTGGATCATCCACTTCAGTGCCTTGCTCAGTGCTGTGGGCGAGAATAACGTGCCTCTAGCCATGAGAGTCAACATCGAAGGTCTTCACAACGTTCTAGAGCTGGCAAGACAGTACAGACTTAAACTCTTTGTCCCCAGTACTATTGGTAACTCATCTCTTATCTTTTTTTATTAGACTAGATAAATCATATATAGATGTATCTAACGACAGGTAATTCAGGCCTTATGTCTACCAGTTTCCAAATGGCAATTTCAGTTATAACTGGATATAATTAAAGGTATTTTATTATGGGGCTAGAGTGGGACTGGTGTGAGGCTGCATAGAGATTGAATCTGTTTACATGTCTGATGTTTCTTCCAATACTGCCGTAAGTTGAACAATACACGTGGAAGTTTGAATGAGTATTACCGTACACATTGAAAAAAATAATTGAGCTTTTTGACTTTCTGAAATCAGAGATGGTAGACGTATAATCTGGCTTAATGGAATGCTTCAAGTCTAATTTTTTTTGCGACGAAAGATGTGTTTATGTAAATTTCTCCGTTTGAGATCTTAAGTACTTCTGGATTTTCATGATTTAAGGAAACACTGTCATTTTCTGAATAAAGAATGCTTTCTTTTCATGACTTAAGGTGCATTTGGCCCGGATTCGCCGAGGAATCCAACACCGGATATGTGCATACAGCGACCACGCACTATCTACGGAGTATCCAAAGTGCATGCAGAGCTCATGGGAGAGGTATGCTTTAAAAATGTTAATTTTTGTGGGTAATATTTTCGCGGTTACTTTTTTCAGCTGGTATTATGTCTGCGGAATTAACATTAAACACTTGTCATTAATTTATGGTATAATGAAATTAAATCTATGAAAAACCACAAAATATGAGCATTGTGGAAATATTCTAAAGTGCGCTAAAATTTGATGCTATGGATATCATATCCGTATAGAATGTTCGTGAGTTCGTATCAAAATGCTGTTGACGGGACTTTTATAGATATAAATGTTAGAATAATATTTGTATAACTGTAGTATCAATTTCACTTGTATGTATGAGAGTAGCTTCATAGAAACACGGCTAAGTCTATTTGATTTGGTCCCGTCGACTTCGACTTATCCGAATTTTACTGTGGGATTATGTTAGTACTTGTGAATTATGTGTTAATCATGCCATGTTTTCTTCAGTACTATTACCACAAGTACGGACTGGACTTCCGAAGTTTGAGGTTTCCAGGAGTAATCTCTGCCGATACAAACGCTGGAGGCGGTACTACAGGTACATAAGTCACTACTAAAATATAAAACTAAAATATAAAACAGACACTATTAAAAGACAACTATACACAATACATAAAAGACAAAAAACATTTTGTTCTCAATTTGAACATAGTTTAGTACAGCCCTATACAACTCAAGTACAACTAAACTCCTTGCTAGACAGGTTTACACCAAATGAACACTAACTCAACACAATGTGCGTCTATAGATTCCGCCCGTCAGGTATTGAATAGCCCATTGAATACATTACGTCATAATCTTACATGACTGTACAAAAAAAGATTTTGTCGCCACAGGCACGTTACTGTCTGTGTCAAAGTCTATAATTTAAGTTGTGCAGTAAACATGATACGGCTGTGTATTGTGATATATATATATACTCCTATGCTATGTCAGCACAATTTATGTAACATGATAAATAACAGGAGGGGGGGGGGGTTACAGCTTTATTCCTCAAACCGTGACATCAAATCTAAATGTTTCTATTTGTGAATATTTTTTTCCTGTGACGGGTAGTATATCAAAAATTAAAATTAGTTAAATTTTAAATTTCTCATCTGTGAAAACCAGCAAAAGCAACTAAAAATTTCAATATACTATATTTTAAGGCAGACAGTGTGTTTAACGTATGTTAAAGGGTTTTGGTCACGAGTTTGGTTTTCGTAAAATTATGTGAAATCTTAATCCAAATAGCATTACCACCGCTGGGACGATGCTCATAGATGTCCCGATACTAATTCTTGGGTAGTCGAATTACTCGTTACGCATGAGGACAGGCTAGTGAGGAAAATTAGAAATATCTAATGAGGTGACCGGTCACGTGTTACTTTGACTGACCATGTGTAATATGTAGTGCAGAAGCGGAAACTTTTCATATTGTCCAGTTTTTTAACCGTGATTACAATTTATTGACATTGGAATATCGTTCTATTCAAACTTGAGCAAACAAAACTGTTGAATAAAATTAAAGGAAAAAACACATCGCCGAGTCGTGACTCTGCAATATATACATGTGTATGTATATCTCATGTTTATAGTTACAACAGCTGGTGCTGAAATAACTTCATATATCCCGCAGAATATAATTATATAGAAAGGACTTTTTTATGAATTCGGCTCGTCAGGCTCGGAAGCATAGAGTTGTCTTGTACACACGGGACAGGTGTATTCAGTTTCAGACAAGGTGTGTCAATAATGGTGAAGACATTTAACTGAATGATTTGAAGGATTTTACTTGTTCAATTTCCATTACTTTTTAAATACGAATGTCTATCACGTGCTTGACTTTCTGGTACGAAAATATTACAATGGTATATTAATTACACAATAAAACACATATGTGTTTCTAGTAAACGGACAAAAATCCGGGTCGGTTGGTCAGGATTTTCCTTTTCTAAAGGTTCAAAGCGTCACTAGTGAGTCCTAGAAGGATAGCTGAATGACGCAATTCATTATCTGATAATACTATATCTATCGAATATAAATAGGTATTGAAAGACAATATTCAGTTGTGCCGATTTTGTCCAATCATGGCAATACTAGTTTTAAACATTTTAAAACACATCTCTTCTAGACTATGCTGTCGCCATATTCCACGAGGCCCTAAAGAAAGGTTCGTTCAACTGCTATCTAAGGCCAGACACCCGAATGCCTATGATGTACATTACTGATTGTCTGAGGTCTGTAGCCCAATATATGGAAGTACCAGAATCGAAAATGAAACTACGGACATACAATGTGACAGCAATGAGCTTCACACCAGAAGAACTAGCAGAGGAGGTCAAGAAATATGTACCAAACTTCACAATTACATACAACCCTGATGACAGGCAGCAAATTGGTGGGTAAACCTACATACATGAGTTTGTATATTCTGTATTGTCAAGACAAATTTAATGCTGGTTAAAAGCAGATGTCATTTACAAATAAAGAGGATGTCATTTTCTATTATTGACATGCAAAAGTTGTTCACAAAATCCAGCATGTAAATAAGACACCGGTAAAGTTCTTTTGCTTATTTACATTAAAAAGATTGAATCCACAATTTGATTTATTCATTCATATTATCCTGATTTGATGAATTTTCATATGTGATGATTAAGTGAAAATGCATCATACGAACGCCCTCCTGATCTTTGTGAAGCCATGTTTATCTTGTCATCATTTAATTTTGTCAAAGACAGATATTTCTTTAATCAAGATGTCAGTGTTCCCCAAGTTTGTAGTTTCTTGTTTGATTGTTTTCGTTTACTCCCGCCATTGGCTTCTTTTTGACTGTGAACTCTAAATCCAATTTTCATGATTTTTTGTATTAACAATTTGATCCGTATTTTCTAATTACTAAATACGTTGCTGTTCGTATGGCATCTAAATTAAACTCCAGCGTTTGCATTATGTCTGTATTTATTCCAACAGCCGACTCCTGGCCTGAAGTCTTTGACGATCAGAACGCTAGAACAGACTGGGAATGGAACCATGAACACGACCTCCAAGCAATGTGCAAGATTATATTTGATGCCCTCACGCCTCTGTATAGATCATAAAAACTACTTGGCCGTGTGTCCACACAATAGTTCTACTAAATACCCATTTCGGCTATATAAGTGTCATTTTAGAATAAAGTATCGATGCCTGTTTTATTTTATAAAAAATTAGTATCAAATAAAAGAAAGGAATGTCAGAAAGTGAAAGGAAAAATTTACCTCCTGGGTGATTCATATTGCTATTATAGAAAAAAATACGTTTTTATATGAAGACATATCATATGACCTTTGACCTTAAGTTTTTTGATGAGATAAATATGTTATATAAGGATACATGTGATTTGTAAATTTCAGGATACGGTTATGTATTATTTGCTGCATCAAAACTTTAAAAAATGCTAAACGTTCTTTTTAAACATAGATAAAATAATATACACGTATCATGATTTTGAAATGTTATGCATGTCTGTTTGTGATCTTAAACGTAACTTTAGCATGTCTCTACACATTATGATGGTTAAACTTTGTCTTTCAACCTGATATAAGTACTGATTTTTCTGATGGTGACTTGTTTATTACGAATTCACATTTCCATTATGTGTTTTATACGTTCTTATTTATTGTTATGATATAAAGTGTTTTATCAACGTTGTGTTTAAGATAGATAAGCATATACAGAATAGTGACATGTTAAATAAAGCTTGCTTCAAACTTTCAAATGTATCTGCTTATCATTTTATGTTTCGTTATATCCACAGTCAAGAAAAATCGCTTGATTTTTGGTTTCAAAGATTGTATACTCCAAATCTTTAATCAATACAGAGTTGTCGCCTTTCTTTTCCTCTTTTTTTTTTTTTTTGGGGGGGGGGGGGGGGGGTAAGAGGGGGTTATTGACGACATTCAATAAAAGCAGCATTTTATGAAAAATTATAACAGTTTTTTCACAAGAAAGGTGTGAAATGTTAAAAAACTAAGGAGTTATGAAGTGATATAGCAATACTTCATAGTGAATCAAAGCGACAATAATCAGTAATAATTCTATTTGAATTTACTACTTTTGAAATATATAAACCTTGTATCCTGTTTAAGGTTCAGATATTTTTTCTTGATATGTATGATGATCATATTTTCTCGAGAAGGGAAAATAATGGGATGTGGATTTTAAGGAACTCAAAAGAGCCTTTGACCAATTTCTCCTTAAATAATTTCTTCTACAAAAACGTTTAGTCTGTACACTAGAGTAAAACGTGTCCCATTTTAAACTTCAGTAACACCTGCGACCACTTGTTATGAGAAGGTGAACGACTTTACAATGATATAGATGTTAATTATACTGAAGCATGTAAACGGAGTACGAAATCGTACAGCGATGGGGTTTCTGTGGACAATATCTTCGTCAAGTTTACTGGTGTGATCTTTTAACAGAATGCTGGTTGGCTGACTTTTTCTTCCTACAACGTAAATTTATCGCAGAGCCTATCAGAAGATGTCACAAAGATTTTAATACATCCTTCGAAATCAGACATATCGATAATGTGTTAACTTTAAGTTACAAGATGTGTCTATCGTATGTACAGACCCGTCTAAAATCACTTACCATAAACTTTTCCTAAAACAAAATCAACATGAACAGCTTTCCACCAAATTCTCCATTTATGAATAGCAACACTCATTCGTCCCCTATCTATGGTGTTTTTATGTCGCAGTTAATTTAATATCCAATGACCTGCTCCACGATTTTCCCGCAAGGTAACCGCAACTGACAGGCACACTCACAACAGTGTTTCTAGAGATGCAGGTTTAGGAAGACAATTGGAAAGGTTTACGTTTGCCATAATTATCTAATTATTATTTTTCTTCTTTACTTTCCCCGTCGAAGATGTTTTGTTACTTCCGGTTTTGCCACCCGGAATCTTTTTGCCTTTTTGCCTTCTTCAACACTAGCAATGACATTCTGCTTTGGATATTGGTTGCCGTCGTCTTGGTGAAGCATTGCGATTTTTTGTTCACGTCACCCTAACAGTATAAGAGATGGCATTTCGAGTGTGTTAACCATTAACAAAAGCTGGACGTTAACGACTGGCTACGGAACTCCCCAACCAATCCCCACCCACTTTTTTTTTTCTTTTTCTTAAACTTTGAAACTATCCGAAACATTTTGTCAATTTAAGACTATATCACTAAATTAGTAGTAAACTTTTGAATCGGAATTATCTCCCTTACGCTGTGAAATTCACGACTCTACCGGAAAACATTTTAATCTGAGAAATATTTAACACTCAATAAGTTTTTAAGATGTACCGTAATTTTGTGCTCTTTAACATTTTTAACATTTGATATCGTTTCTGTAATATGCATACTCAAACAATTTTTCGGAATACATTTTCAGTTTGTATTTTAAACAAGATAAATGTTGTTTCTTTTCTTTCGTCGATTTTTTCCCTTTTTATTTAGCAATGAAAGAATATATCTAGCTCCGTCAACTTGGTAATGACTGATTAAAACATGCTCTATTATCAGTAGCAGAAAAATGGATTAGAGACAAGCTCTAGCGACTTATGAACTCTTCTCCATAAATAAAATTACAAATAGTTAATATACTGCCCGTGACATATTTATACTATGAAGTAATTCGTAGACGTACAATTGTAAGTTTAAATGATTTTGTCAAAAGGAGGGGAAAAGTTAGGAGAGGAAAAAAAGAAGAGAAAAAGAGATAGTATAGATTTTATATCAATAAATGGTAATAAATGGAGGAGTCCATGACAACTACCCACATTGCGGCGGGTCAGTCAGAATTCCATTTTTAATGAATGGAGTTCACATATACACCTGGTACATGTTTGGATTGCTGTCATTCCATAACCACCTGTAGCATATGTGCCTCCGTCCACTGTCTGACACGATACATTGTGACGGGGCCCACTCATGAATTAATATAGATTGACTGAAAATGGCGTGAATTAGCTGTCAATGACTTCCCGTCATGTCACACAAGCTGTTACACGAAGTGATTTGTATAGAAGAGTCCTTCATAAATTATCAACTTGTTACATCTGAGCGTTTTTGTTTTGCAACTTATCTAAGAAATTCATTACAAGCTGTGAGAGAAATATTTTTAGTTACGCGCAGATATGGAAGAAAAACATTTTCGCAAACTACGCTCATGATTGCAAATCGGTTTTTTGTTTCATACAAACATGAACCTTAAAATATTCCTATCAAAACTTCATTGAACTAATTAAACCATTAAACAAATATTACTTTTCTTTTGTGCTAAATGTTCTAATTTAATATATTATACAGAGATATTTGGAAAAAAAACAAACAAACAAACAAAAAAGTTGAGCTTTGTTCTGCAACTTATTCTAACAACCCTCGTCTCCAGTGCAGCATATTTTGCAGAATGTACAACATCTGCAGTAGTAGGTACAATAAAGGAACATAATGATGGTTTGATATAAACGTGCCTGACTCTAAACGACAACAAAGGTCCCAAGTAGCACCTATAGATAGAAGTACGGAATCATGGGTAAAAAGTCGCCTGTAGACAACAGCATGGAATCATGGGTAATACGTCGCCTGTAGACAGCAGTATGGAATCATGGGTAATACGTCGACTATAGACAGCAGTATGGAATCATGGGTAATACGTTGTTTGAAGACAAAAGAATGGAATCATGGGCAATACGTCGACTGTAGACAGCAGCACGGAATCATGGGTAATACGTCGCCTGTAGACAGTAGTACGGAATCATGGGTAAAAAGTCGCCTGTAGACAACAGCATGGAATCATGGGTAATACGTCGCCTGTAGACAGCAGTATGGAATCATGGGTAATACGTCGACTATAGACAGCAGTATGGAATCATGGGTAATACGCTGTTTGAAGACAAAAGTATGGAATCATGGGTAATACGTCGCCTGTAGACAGCATCACGGAATCGTGGATAATATGTCGCCTGTAGACAGCAGCACGGATTCATGGTAAAATGTCGCCTGTAGACAGCAGCACGGAATCATGGGTATTACGTCGCCTGTAGACAGCAGCACAGAATCATGGGTAATACCTCGCCTGAAGACAGATGTATGGAATCATGGGTAATACGTCGCCTGTCGACAGCAGCACGGAATCATGGGTAATACGTCGCCTTTAGACAGCAGCACGGAATCATGGGTAATAGTTACTTGAAGACAGCAGCACGGAATCTTTTAATGACAAATGTAATACGTCGCCTGTAGACAGAAGTACGGAATTATCAAAGATTTAAATTTTTACTTAACAACCGCAATAAATAAATCAATAAATGAATAAACCATTACAATGTTGTATTTAACCATAATCCCCATGCACGTGCATATCATGTTTCGTGAGTCATTTGAGTGGTTGTGGTATATAATGATATGTGTTTTTTAAAATGTACACAATTTTATCAAATCTAGCAATATATTTTGAATTACATTCCTAATTAATTTGTTTTCGGAGATCAACGTCACTTTCTAGAATGTATATAACTATAGATTCACAGCCTCCTGTAATTGTTAATTTGCTTAAGTAATATTATAATAACTTGTACCCAATCCTGTTGCTGATGATTATGGCAATAAAATATGTTTGAATTAAAAAAACCCTAATTAAACCACAAGGGTCCAGTTTCATGAATATTGACTTGAGGAATTTTCCTGTCCTTGAAATAGACCGTAGGAAAGCATTATATATATGAAGGAAATTTCCTTAAGTTAATGAATATTCATGAAACTGGACCCTTGTGGTTCAATTCGGGTTTTTTTTTCCTGAACTTACGTAACGTTTTTCTTTGGTAGTTAAGATTTCCTTACGATAAGGAGATTCGTGAAACTGTTAATATGAGTTCTAACGTGAAACTGTTCATATGAGTTCTAACGTGAAACTGGTGAAAGGAGTTCTAACGTGAAACTGGTGAAAGGAGTTCCTGCGTGAAACTGGTGTCTAACGTGAAACTGGTGAAAAGAGTTCTAACGTGAAACTGGTGAAAGGGGTTCTTACGTGAAACTGGTGAAAGGAGTTCCTACGTGAAACTGGTGAAAGGAGTTCTAACGTGAAACTGGTGACAGACGTTCTAACGTGAAACTGGTGTCTAACGTGAAACTGGTGTCTAACGTGAAACTGGTGAAAGGAGTTCTAACGTGAAACTGGTGGAAGGTGTT